GTTGTTCCTTTGAGAATCTATCCGATAAAAATGGAATGATACAAAAAGAGTAATACATGGGTTGTCTCGATGGTAGTGATAGATAAATAGAAATAGAAATATATGAACTGTCGTATCATCTGTATTTACTAAAAAATTATCAAAACTTTCAAACACTAGCAATTATATCTCGAATTGCAATGTAAGTACCTAAAACTCCAATCGGAACACTCATCACTACTATACCAAACAACATTATAGTCTCCCACCCAAGTTTCTTGTAAATTCCAGTGATCTTCAAGTAACATATACAAGGTAGAACTACAGAAACCGTTACGCTTAGTAATGCTCCAACCAGCGACATCATATAACCAAAGAAGGGGAGTGTCTCGGCGACGAGCACACTACTTATTATAAAGATTGTACTTATCAAAAGATGTAAGTATGTTTTTTTGGCGTACCGTGAAGGAACCCAATCTTTTATGGTGTTTACGGTTGGTGTGATCATCAATGCGTATTTGGCTATAGGATTTATGAGGGTCGTGTATATTGCCACTTTCGAGCTCGTCTTATGAATCGGAAGATTCAATGTTATTTGCGATAATGTATTTGATCCATACATTAAGTAGCCCAAAACCGCCATTGATGTGTAACCTATGGTGCATAATATAAAACATACAAGTAGGACCTGCCAAAAAAGAGTGAATTAACATGTATTTTTTTCTTTCAAGTTTCTCTAATAGAAAGCAATACACACATGAAATTATGCAAGTGATTATAGACTTGTTGGTTAATGAAAGTGATTATAATGACTTACATTGTTGAACTGATGTTTGCTTTTCATAGAAGAGTATAAAGTGGGCAAAACCGGATGCGCGCCATAGCAAAAAGCATACAAACTCAAAGCTGTAGGGATTCCACTCCAATTGATCAACTTTCCCTTTTGACGAAACCCGATTCCATCAAATACTCCAACCCAAGATATTGATCCAAGAGTCACAATCGTAGCTAGAACGCCGCTCATAGAAACATAAGACAGTAAGCTTAGATTGTCCCACCATAGAGTTGGCATGATGACGAGAGCGACAGAAGCCATGAACGCTTGTTTGCCATTCAAACTCAACCCAATCAATTTGATGTTAAAACCCGGGAAAAGGTTGTGAAGATTGTCGCCTTCAAGGATCAAGAAACCTGTGGTGACTAGATAGAGTTCTAGGTGCATGAAGAGTGACACAATGAGTCTTCCTGGTCTACCAAACGCGCGTTCTCCAATATCAGGATATGTTTTAATGTTGCGGTCCGCATTCATACATTTTGTAATGAGTAAAGATGTGTAGAATGCGGTTGCGGCTAGAAGTAACAGAAGTGAAAGACTCAACCATCCTCCACGAGCTAGTGAATATGGTACTGACAATATTCCAATTCCTAATACAATTCAAACTATCAATTACTATGTTACAAAACTGACTACATAAATAAATTCGTCGAAATCAAACTAACCTGAAAGAGCATTGAGTGCGTTGAAACAAGTCTTAGAGAAAGAGGAAGATCCGCCATTGTCATGTTGTTTCTCGGTGTTATCTTCTTCCATTGCTGATAAAATCTAATAGGAAAATGGAGAACTATGATTATCAATGTAATTATTTTATTTTCGTAAGAGAAAGTATTGGAAGTAATAATATAGTTTTCTATAAAAACAAAAGTAGAGTTTGAAGCAAAGACAGGGTAGAAAGAAATCAATATGGTTGAGCTCATCTAAAGCGAAAGCAAGAGAACCGTGGTTATTGATTGGGACTAATTAGGAGTTACGTGTGCATCAATAGCAATATACAAGAATGATATGTAACTTTGATAAGATTATCATTTCTCAATGAAAATGAAAGCAGCCTCTAAACCGGTTTACCAACCCTAGATGCCTAAATAAATTTAGAAACAAAGTTATTTACCATTTTTCTATAGATGAAGGGGAAAAAAAACAAGAGATATTTGGCTAATTGGGTCGAAATCAAATAGAAAATGTCCCATTAGTATTTTTTCAACTCAATTTTGTCCCATTAGTATTTATTTTAATGATAATCCAGT